GGAGGGAGGGGGGGGGGCTACCTTGCAATGGTACCTTCCTCGTCGTTTCTCGATCTCCGTCCATGTCATGATGATTGCCCTACCGCCTTCAGTGTGGATTGTTGGTTTTACCAAGTTAGCTCTTCCAGTAGCACGGGTGGAGGGAGTGATGAATATGACTCGCTATAGGGAGTTCTTTTTCTTGTAGTCTGACTTTGTGTGCCGAGTGCCACTCTACATGAATTTTGGAATTATTCGCGTGCGACTTCGCAGGACAAGAACCATGGTACTCAATGAGGAACAGTTGAGCCTGGCTCAAGACGCTCACTCAATTCTCGCAAAGTTTACCGTGTCTGTAAACGAGGCGGAGAATTTGGACCTCAACTACGACCTCAGTGGAAAGTCGAATGTGTCTTTTTACAGCACACCTTCGACGGTTTTTTCTGAGTTGAGTGCAAACTCTGCTGGAAACTCGCCCTCTGCAAGTAGATTCAAACCTACCGACCCCTTCTCTGAGTTGCAAATTAATCCTAAAAATGCCCGCTTCTGTTGCCTCTTTCTCATTATCAAGCAACCCGGTGAGTCATTTGTTTTTAATTTTTGGCAGAAACGATTAGAGCTTGAAGTGGATAGATGCATTAAATCGATAACTGCGCAGTCTGGAATGATTTGGATCTTATCTCATGGAGCTAATTTGCCAAACTTGGAGAGTTTCATGATAGATCGGATTTTTGGTTAAAGGGAAAGTGTGCGTGAATAGTGAGAACGAGGTAGACTAGGCGCACGGGGATCAATAATACGTAGGTATTAATGTGTCACCCTGTTTAGGAACCCACATTGGTGTGGTTGGTCGTTCAAATGCCAGAATGTGCATTAATGAGCATCGATTTCTTGGTCTTTTGGCTTGGCAGACATATTCTTTAACCACAATGCTTATTTGTAGGGGTAGAATCGAGCTTGCTAGTGGTTTAAAGCATCTTTTCTTATTAGAAATGAGTTTCGATGAAGCCGCCTCCAAAGACTTAGTTACTTGGGCCAAGGAGCGCGACTACTATCTACAACGTGCGGCGTCAACATCTGGAGAAGGCAACAGTCTCCTTACCGACCCGCCTCCTCCTCCTCCTTCCTCTCGTAACGAGCCCCTTAGTCTTCAAAGTGGCATCTGCCCTCGTTATGGCCTTGATCTTTCCTCCCTTCCCACAGAGGAATGGAGAGGGCGTCTTGTTCGTCCCATTACCCTGCCTTCCAAAGATCCGGGGGGTTACACTGTGTCAGGTCCCAATAAAACGGGTCTCTGTGGCTCCAGTCGCGTCCATCCGGAAATGCTGAAAAATCTGCCCGAGGAAATGCAAAATCGTGGACGCACTTCTTTCTTTGATTATTACCTCTTCAAGCATGGACGTTTGGTGAATTTGGTGCAGAAAACTCGTGGATTGGATCCTTCATTGCCTTTGGCTACCGTTACGAGGATATCCAGGCACCAGAATGCCGCTAATGTGAGTTTGGAGATATGGATCTGGATGTTTTAAGGGCCTTTAACCTTTGTTTTATTGTTCATCGCTGCCTCGCGGAGTGGGTGATGTTTCATCAGAAGAGATTTGGAAAGGGCTTGGCTAAGTAACTTACTTTCAAAACGATTAATTAAGAGACTTGACACATTTGGTATTATATGTTCATCTGTAGCCACTAATTACGACCAACGGTTTCCGCATTGGTCCTTTCTCCAGCTGAATGTTTATACTCAACTTGAGTATTTCCTCACTTCTTGGCCAAATGGCTTTCTAACGGCTTCGTAATCCACCAAGTCCAATTTTTTTCGAGGCAGTTTCTCTGTCATTAATGATGAGATTATGACAGTCAAATTAAGGGTTCTTCTCTTTCACATTGAATTCTAGGTGGCGGCAGGAGCCTGTGCAACGAAAAAGGATGAAATTAAGTTTGTCGAAGATCGCTTGCCTCAACTTTGTGTTGTTCATCCCCTCAACACCTGGCTATGGATAACAGTTTGCCTAACGCCAATAGTGCTCCATCAAGTCTACAGATGCCTGTCAACAATGGAGTTTTCCAATCGTCTGCGCGAGTTGATCTACACCTGTGGTGGTGGTGGTGATGGTGGTGGTGGCGTTAATGCATGGTCCTCCTCAAACCCGGAAATTCTCTTTCCTGAAGGCAATTTTCTTATGCCCGATCGGGAATCGGTTTCACCATGTAATACGCCCCTCTTCAGTAACTGCATCGTCAAAGTGGAAGGTTGTGGGGATAACTCGCCTTCTGGTTGGAGATTCAAGGAACCCTGTCCGGTATTCACTTGTGAGGAGGAAGAAGATTTAGACCGCCAGGTTTCAAAGATATCTCAGGTAATCTCCTATTTTATAGATGAAAGGGAAGACGTTATTGTGACGCCTACCCAATCAGAGACTAGTGGCAATAGAAACACCAAGTGATTAAGAAGGGGTCATTGAAGACTATAGTTAAATAATGTGGTTGAAGATTGAAGAGAACTTCATTGGGTGAGGTCGGTTGGACTTATATCAAGACATCAAGTTGATTTATCAGTTTGATCTCATGTTCGTAGATAAGTGTGATTTAAATTCCATGAAGAATCCGAATCCACCTCTGACATTTCGCAATTCTTTGAATAAATTTCTATCTGTATTTGTTGGATTGAATATGGTAGGATTAGTTCCTTAAAGAAGTGGAAGTATGATATAGTGGATATTGAGGAGGGATTTCGATTAGCCTTCTCGTTTCGTCAACTATTCGGTGCGCGCATTCAATGACTGGACTGAGCAAATAAAAGTTACCAATTTCGGCTTAAAGAAGAGATGACGGAATAGGAGTTCTTCGGTACAGAGGCTTCCTGTGTTACCGCTCTTTCCTGAAAGTCTCCTGAAAATTGTGAATGGCCTTGGAATTGGTTTTGTGCTATGAAATTTCAAAGTTATTGCTACTTATTTTGATTGAGTAAGAGACGATTATCAAATCAGTAAGTGCAAGTTGGACCAATGAGGTGGAGTGAAGAAATTGGAGGAACAGGGTTACAGCGTATTCTGCTTTCATCAACTTGATTTATCAATTTTTTTGAAAGTAGAATTCTGGGCGTTCCTTTTACACCAGAAGGTGTTTGTTAGTCTATCTTGAGCGAACGCATTTAACCCAAGAATGTGCCCGCATGAAGGCTGCTCTTCTTGTTAGCATATTTTGTGGAATTTGGAATCCATGCTTTTAAATTAATTAAAAAGATAGTCGTGGCATTTTTTTTAAATTTGTATAGCCGAAGAAAGATGATATGGAAGTGCCGTCATTAGCCAGTCTTCAGGAAGCCTTCACCTCGGTCAATGCTAATGAGGCAGTTAACTTGGAAAGATTAGAGCTGCTAGGTGACTCCTTCCTGAAATTCGTTTCGAGTCTGTACATTTTCGCAACATCGCCGCCCACCACAGACGAGGGCCAGTTGACCTATGCCCGAGTGGCACACATTTCAAACTCCAATCTTCACCGAATCGCCGTTAGTCATGGTCTCTTCCGATATCTCGCCTCTAGCGCCTTTAAACCGGGTGTTATGTACATCCCACCTTACTATTCGTTTGTGGATGAGGTTAGTTTACACTGCCAACCCCTCCCCCCCCCCCATAATTCGTGAAGGTTTTGCTTGTTTGGGGCTAGAGGTCCACCTAGTTGTAGTTGGATGAGAGTGAGGTCATCGGTTTCAGAAGAAAATTGGTGGGTGGAACTGGAGGTAGAGAAGATTTGACAGTGACGAAGAGTGAAAGAGAGATCTGGGTGACTGTATGAACTCGGACTAGGAGTAGTAAAGTTACTTGTTGTTTTTATGGTTACAGAGTTGAGATAATTATTTGGTAACTTCAGTGTAAACCCGCTTGGTGACTAGGAAGTGAGAAAAGGAGGGGGGGCGACCATTTTTGTTTGATAGACTTGGCCATATAGGCATACCGATGAGATGTTGGCATTTGAAAGCGGGCAAAGCACTTGGTAACCTGTCTCTATACCTAAACTCCTAGTAACTTACAACCATGTAAAATTAATCGAACTGCATTTGGGGGTTTTTTAATCGTGTGTTCATTTATTCGCAGCAATATGCTCGCGAGACTCATGACCTACGTCAGTTTGTGAAAATCTATGACAAAACCATTGCCGATTCAATGGAGTCTCTTTTGGGAGTTTGTTTATTGACTATGGCCCCGCCAAGAGTTGCCCTTCTCTTGCGATTATACTGCCTCTCAAATGAACCCGATCCCCTGTCTCAATTGAAATCCTCTAGTCGTCTCCAGTTGGGAGATAAATATCCTTCTTGGGTGCCCCTTATTCTGGAATCCTCTTACCGAGCCATCGATCCGGAATTTGCTAGAGATGATTGGGCGTCAATGTCAAAACGTCAAGCAGAAGTTGATCGTATCCTATTGTCAAATAACCCGAAAACGAAAGCGGAAGCTGCTGCTGCTGCTGCCGCCGCCGTTGCCGACGAAACGTCTTCATCAAACTTGAACTTGGATGCACATGATGGGCTTAAGAGAGAAGCGGTGGGCGGTGATGATTTCCACACAACTCTTGAAAATCAGCGGCTCTCACTTGCTCCGCTGGAAGAAATAATAGGCTATAGGTTCCGTCGGATTAGGATACTTCTGCAAGCTATTACTCATCCCTCCTCTGAGATGGCATTCAAGTGGGGTTGCTACCAGAGATTGGAGTTTCTAGGAGATGCAATCTTGGACTTTATTGTGACCCAACGCATCTTCACTGAAAATCCCCATATGGATCCGGGTGAATTGACGGATTTAAAAATTGCTCTCGTGTCGAACGTTAACTTGGCTATTGTTTGCATTCGGAAGGAGATCTACAAGTTCCTAGGTCACATGGATAACAACTTGTGGACATTCATAAATAACTTTAAGAATGCTGTGTCGCAGAATTTTGGCAATATTTGGCAGCTGGAGGTATGTGTTGATCGTTTTTTTTTATTTCAGGAGAATTCTTTGAATAATAATGAGGAAAGTGGTGGGTTGGGGGTGGGGGTAGGAGTAAGGCTGAGTGTGCTGGAGGCTAGAAGGCAGTGACTAGCCTAAATTTGCTACCTTCCAGCTCATTGTCATTCGGGTAGAAAAGTAGCCTCAGCAACTTCATTCAACACCAGGTTTTCATCCTCTCTACTCTCTTTCTTCTTAATCGCTTTTCTTTGCTCTGTGACGTCTAATTTTTTTGGCGTTATTGAGTTGAGATGCTTCTCACACACAGAGACATTTATTTGGAAGCAGGAAGCAGTTGTAGACTTCGTTTATGGTGTTGTGCTGCACCAACCCTGCGTCATTTTGTGGTCATAAGGCTGAGCATGAATGCTTGTTGACATCAACTGAAATCGTTGCAATTTCAATGAACTAGATCCTCCATTGTAAATTAAATAAACGAGGCTGGACATTGGCTCGTTGAACCAGTGATTCAACAGCCGTGATCCAAGTTAGAGGAAGAAATGTGCTAAAATGAGCCAAGTGGTGCAATTCTTCGTGTTCCTTTCTCGTTGTGGCAAGTTGGCCTCTTCCGCTTTATCCCACTTAATTCTCATTTTCATCACATGCGTCGTGATGATCTCCATGGAGCCTTGTTCCAGCATTTTCCATAGTAACAAGAGGCTTATTTAGTCCACGCTTCAAGGAATTCGATTTTTTGAGTATTGTGTCTTTTTTAGCACGAATGCAATCAACGCAATGAGTCACTCTCGTACAAAGTCCTAGGTGATATGGTGGAGGCCATAATCGGCGCCGTCTACGTGGATTGTGGTGGAAATACTAGTATCGTGACTGGTGTCATTTACAACCTCCTGGAGGATAATATTAGTAGGTCTTCTTTTGTTCCTCAACCCTCTCCTCATTTTTCCATGCAATTTGACGCTTCTTTGGTTGGCCTTGTCCAAGAGCATGCGACCTCTAAAGTGCCCCTAGATTTGGCAATGTGATAGCACAATTTTAGCAGTTTTATGTGTCAAGTTGCATGAGACATTTAGTCGTTCAGGGCTGACTGAACAGGGCAAGCACCGTAGTTAAGATTTCGACAATTTGGTTGGGCAGCCTGCTTTAGCATTTTTAGATTACGACACATTAAATGTGACGTGTTGGAAGCCGCGTGCTTACTAGCCGAAGACCCCAGAGATCATGTTTTCCTAAGCGTATATCCAAGTCGCTATTTCTCAAAGGAGGTGGGAAGTTGAGTGGGGGGAGGGGAGATGTTCTATCACTTGGTCATATGTTGAACGCCTAGATAAATCAGTCTAGGTAATGATCGAATAGTTAATACATTGGGACTTTGAGTCATTACTTGAACGGATCGATTTAAAGACTTCAAGATCTAGCTTCTGAACTCTGAAGTGTAGGAGTTGAATTTGTCGTGGTGGATATTCTATGAATGAAATAAGTAAGAACGACGTTATTTGGAGTGCACAAGGAAATCTCAAATGTCAGAACTTATAGAAGAGGGAATATGAGTGAAAGCCTTATAGACTCCGAACAGTCGTCTACCGCGCATTGAGTATTTTATATTGGTATGAGCACCGGCGAAACAAACTGCTTGGTAACACGTCTATTATCGTGTGTTGGAAGTACAATCAGAGTGTGTCTAAATAGGACTTGTATGCGTTCGATAGGCATATTGACCTCTCAATCGTTTTCTTCAATTTCAGGAGAATACAGTAAGAGCCCTCCAATGGATCCCGTGCGTCTGTTGCACGAAACGTACCCAGATCTTGAAATTAAGAAAGTTGAAGGTGGTCCGAGTCCCCAGGACTCACCTTCGGATAGTGATGGCCGACAAATGCCTACTTGGTTAAATAACCAGAACGGTAGTTTTCAAACCCGCCTCAAGATCACTGCCAAATGTGGTGATCGTATTCTAACCGGTGAAGGATTCAATATTCGCACTGCGAAACTCGAGATTGCTCAGCAATTAGGTATCATTAAATGCTGAACACTGAATGTTGCTTATTCACATCTACTCTTCCTTTTGGGACTTTGTTGGATAAATTAAGATTGGCTTTTGCTTACACGGTGTCAGCTTATTTGCTTTCTATTTTGCTTCACAAAGATTTTAAATAGTGAAAAGTGTTTGACTTCTTTATTTGGAGGTTGGTTCAGGACCTAGTAGGAGTTTTTGCGAGTCTTATATTGCATCTGGAAAATACTGTAGCGGATTGCTGCCTTAGTAAAGCCTGACTGACTCAGAAATCTCTATGGCAGTTCCTCCTACATCTAGCTAGACTCCCAGAACCAGCTAAGCTATAGCCCAGCTATAAAGGAAACAGACGTGTAGCGCGGAGCACGTTTATTCAGTGGGTACGTTGCGGATAAGGTGTACACGCAGGAAGCTTAATCATGATCAGGATGGCGGATTAGGTTAAACAAACAGAGGTTAGTGATTGGTCACTGTTTGTACAGTCGCACCTCCCAATTCTGGCGTGCAGGCATGCGATGACGTGTCCCACAATACACAGCTTATTTATGGACCGAAAATGAACAGAAAGAGTTCGGGGAATATTGGAAACTTTAAAAATAGAAATTACTGTTTGCAGATATCTTTTTTTTAACCTGCTATGCCATTGCAACCCGAGATAAGAGAAAGCGTTTTGGACAACAGAGAAAAAGCAAATTAGCGGAAAAAATTTATTGAGTGCCCAACGGGAAAATAGGATAATTGCTTTGGACTTCGTCAAAGCACACAATTGAAATCTCCATCTGTTGAGTGATGCCCATGGAATGAGTCTAGAGTGTGAGCGGATTATAATCGAATAATGTGGGGATAGATTGGATTTTTAAGAGAGCAAAAGACATCTGCTTACGCACCGCTATATTCAAGAAATATTGCTAATCGAGTTCGAACGGTGTTAGAGTATCTCTTCATCCAAAAGACTAAGGTGGGCATTCATCACTGTTTCTGTTGTCTGACCAAACGAACTCAACCTCATGCGTCCAAATCTTATTTCACCTAGACGCATAACTAAACAGGCAAACCAGTGATGAGAGTTCATTCATCTCCCTATCTGTAGTTTGAGGAAATACAAATTGCAAATATAGGAGAGGGTCTGTGCGTTTAAGAAAACTTATGAACCTTCTAAGAAGTCATCAGAGTAAAAATTCAAGATTGTATTTAAATTTTGCATATTATCCAAGCTAATGTGGTTTGGAATTTAAAGATGGCATAAAAATTGTAAATATTATTCATTCAATACAAAATGACATGTTTGAAAAACAACATTGGATTTCTTTAGTATACTCTGGAAACATGTGATCAAGAATTTGTTTATATCAAATTGCAGGTTTCATGATAGTTATCTCTGGCCTTTTATTCGACTTCGGGCTTCACAGAGGGGAGGTACATCAAAGTCACAAAAAGTCGAGGGGAGGGACAGAAGAGTGATTTACTTACGTAAAAGAGACTGACACAAAGCTAGAGAGAACGGTAAGGTGAGTACTGTGGAAGTGGTATAAAATAACATAAAGTGGGGCCATATTAGTTAAATGTCAACTGTCGGTTAATGGACTTTTTGCACCACATGAAGGTGAGTCCATGTCGCATGCAATGAATCAAATTAATATTAGCCATTTTTAGGGATAAATGAGATTTTGTGCCCCCTTCCTTTCTAGCAGCTTTTGTCTTAATTCTTTGAATTGGCAAAAGATCGAATCCTCGCGATGCGTGTTTAATATTCATGGTATTTTCACTGTATGGATGAATTTTCTATTTAAACTGCTAAAAACAACAAAAACAGTTAGCTAGATAGCTCAATTCTTCCTTACTTAAATTAAATCATACGTGACGCAGGAACGTCAAAGTAAGTTTTTAATGCATTTAAATCATTATGAGGTGCATATTTGCACTTTGTAGGAAGCTTAATGAAAAGGAAAAGCCAATTTATTCTCACTTATTCCAGCAAATATTTACTGTCCGTTGAGATATTTTAAAACATATAAAGTTACTTAAGAAGTCAAAAGATTGAACTTCAAAATGAAAAAACTAATTGTATCCCATCATCAGGGCATTCAATTTCCGCTGAACAATGTAAAGGTATAAAATCTTATTTATCAATCAATTTAATTGATCTTGTATTGTGCATTTTATTTTATTTTTATACCCAGTAGAATACAGAAGTTAGTGAGTTGTTTATATATGCATCAATCCAGGCGGAATTAACAAAGTCGGCGATATGTCTAAGGAGCAGCGGATTGCGCAGCTCTTCAAGGAAATGCTTCGAGCAAGCAATAATTTTACGGACTATAATTTCAGAAAATATTTTACTCGTCGGGTTACGGAAGAGTTTCAGAAACACAAGAACATTAAATCCTTAGAGGAGCAGGAGAAATATATCGCTCAAGCTGAAGAGACACTTGCAATGCTTAAGCGCCAATCAGTGATAAATAAATTTTATCATGGTCTTAAATTACCAATTGAATAGATTTATTATTGTTAATAAATTTTTTAACTAATACCTTGCGTTTTTTTCTGCCTCACTTTTCCTATATATATTTATTATTGACGATGTTCTTTTCGTATAGCCTTAGCAATGATTCTTGATCAGTTATACAATTTTATTCGCATTTACAAATGCGATTTCCAACCTGATCGTGATGAATATATTGAAGAATACGTTGAAAATCTGTTCAAGAGTGAATCTGATGATGATTTTGACCCTCAGGAAGTTGAGTTGTTTTTAAAGGACTCAATCTCATCATGCAGCGATATTCCAAGGTAAGCTTGGGCTTCTTTTTATCTTTCTTATAATTAAGCCATGTTTTCCAAGAGTGGATAATGAAGACCCGTTTAAGTCTAGTTAGTAAAGACGCTCCTAGTATGAAAAACGAATTGGAAGATAATTCGACCGACTGTGTTGAAACTATTTTAAAGCTAATTCCAGTGGTAATGGATTTACTATTTATTATTTCGTAGAGACTAATTATTGCTTACTGCCTTTTCATTTTCATGTTTTCATTGTGTGCGCTCACATATACAAAACTTCCTAGTATTTCATTTTTGTTTCTTTCAGTTAAATCCAGAGCTGCATGAGACCGACTCGAAAGTGGATTCTAAGCCCCAATTAACGAAGGAGGAACGTGAAGCCTATGCCGAACGATATGGGTTTTCTCGCAATTCTTGTTCCTTAATCCCTCCAGTTACTAAATTGTCCTCCGAAGTACGTTTGTGTCTCGCTTTGTTTTTGCAGGTTTTGTTGACTACCTAGAAAGTGGGTTAGAACTGGCTTTCATTCATTTTTATGCATCTGTTAGTTTCGTTTTGTAGTCCATGGGTCGAATATCACGAATTTCCAACGGTATTGTTTGCTTGATAAAATGTGAATTTCCGATGGAAACTAAATTTGATCTATTTAAGTCAGGTCACAGTTTTTTCACAGTTGACCTTTTTATCCAAATTTCAAATGCCCATAACGCAGACTTGTGCAGATTAATTAAAAATATTTTTTGTTTTCTTTATAAATAGCCTTAGCCACTCCTGTATTCTTAAATTCCTTTCATGTGCATTTGCCTGATTGAAACTCGTATTTTTGAAGGTCTTCGCGCTTTGAGGTATTTGGGAGTGCATTTAGATTTTCAAAAGAAACTTAGCATAATCGATCTTCGAATTTCACATGCTAGTTCTACCTCATCTGATATTTTGAAGATATTGTCAGAGCAGTAGAGCCATTCCCTGGTTTATGCTTAATTATACAACCGATTGCTTTCTAATTTTCTTAAATTCTATTTTAATTATTTTCAATCTAGAGTAACTGTGTTAATTGCCTCTTTCCCGAATTAAAGCGTCCTGTTTTCCTGAACCATTTCATGAAAATTCTTTCCTGAATTGGTCTTACCTTGCTATCCGCTTCAATGTCTGGGACTTTGTGTGTTACGTTCTTACCTAATCCATTCCTAAATTCGTAAACGCTCGGTGAGTAGGCACATCCAGGATGATAGGGCGTGTTTGTCATAGTTTGGCTCAATTTATTTATCGTTTGAATCGGGAAGTATAAATCCCCTCATTATTGTGACGTACATCACATAATGGCCTCTTTATCTCTGTTTTCGATAAAGTTTTGCATCCAGTTGGTAAACTACTCATCTCCGGTCTGAATTTTGCCAGATACCTTTCTATAGAATTATTTTTTTCGCCGTATGAAACATTTTGAGCTAATTTTGGGGAGAATTTTAATAGTATCTCCGAAGTTAATTATCTTTGTTAAATAAGCATCGATCTCATGACCTCTGATCTTTGATTTTTACTTTAAGTTAGACCTATTAGTCCATTGTTTGCCGATTGGAATAGCCAATTGTTCTGGCAATGGGATATTTGGCCATGTTTACAACTCGTTGAAGCTCAGGCGTTTCTTGTGTGTTGAGAAGAGAAGACTAGTCATGTCGTGGTCCATTTAAACTTCGCTGATCGTGAAATAATTGGCGCTATGATTAATGTCCTCATCTGTTATCTCAAGGGTCATGGGTTCAAGACCCCTCAGCGGAGTACTAGACGTCGCTGGATGCCAAAAATTTATATCAAATGGCAGGCGTCTTGATGGTTATCATTAGCCCTTTAGTTGACTTCAGGCTCCACAGAGAGAGTGAGGAACATCAAATCGAAAAATGTCGAGAGGGGGGGAACAGAAGAATGTTTTAAAGATGTAAAGGAGATAGACACAAAGGTAGATGAGGTGAGTACTGTGAAAGTGGTCGAATATGACATACTGTGGGGTCATGATAGCTTGTACTCAGAAGTCAACTTCTGGTTTATAAACTTTTGCCGCATGAGTATACGTTGCCCAGGGTGCACCACGTGGAGGTAAGTCTATCGCACACCCCTGTTTGCCAAAAATAGATGTTTCTTACCCGTAAGGCTCCATGGCGCCACCCCTCCCCTCAAAATTAGTCTTGGAAGCCCCTCCTAAACGTGTTTTGAATTTACAATAGTTAGGCTTTGAGTCGGAAATAGGTTTTTATTTATATCAAATGAAGGAGAAATGGTTGGAATAATCTAAACTGGACTTACGATTGCATGTTTATTTTTATGTTTCCTCTTTTTTTATTTAGCCGGAGAGCAAAGTGAGGTACCTGGACGGGAAGGTGGTTAATACCAACGGAGCAAGGTATATTGAAATTAAGAAGGAGTATCCAGATATGCCTCCTCCAGTCTATCTCAAATCCTCTCGCAAATATCGCTTTCATTGATGTTGTGGCATTTTCCTCGGCTCCAGTCCTGCATTTCATCTCCCTTTTTTGTACTTTACTCTGCATTTTGTAAAGTCTCTTTTCTCTTTTTTATCTTTCACAGCAAACATGTCCTGTGTATATATATATTTGCTCTATCTTTTAAAATGTTGACCTTTATATGATTTCGCTTAGCCTATATGTGCTTTACGAAACGGTTAAGATATGTGTCACACACACAGTCCTCAGTTTACCAAGTGGACAGACAAGACAGCTTCGGGGACTCCTGTCTTGAAAGCGAATTGTTTAGTTGTGGACAGTGTCCTTGTCTTTGAATGACAAGAGTATCGTACAGGTTTTTTTTATTTAGTGCATCATTGGGTAATGAATCGTGAACTTATTAAGGAACCTCTTTCTTAGTTTTCATCTTGAAACTTCTTACGTTTCAAGAATTGAATTGACTGCTTTTTGTAGTATCCCACAAGGGCTTCACTAGTAACATATAGGAACTAGCGAATAATCAAATAATATATAATTTATTTCAACTGGTAGGCTTTAAGATAGTTACCATTGGCCCTTTAGTTGGCTTCGGGCTTCACAGAGAGGAGGAGCGTCAAAGCCACAAAAGTTGAGAATCGGAGCAGAAGAATGATTCGCAGATGTAAAAGAAATAGACAGACACAAAGGCAGAGGAAAGGTAAGATGAGTACTGTGCAATTGGTGGAATATGACATTCAGTGGGGTCGTGGAAGTTTAAAGTCGGAAGTCAACTGCCTGTTAATAGACTTTTTTCGCCGTATGAATAAACGTTGCCCAGTGTGCGCTACGTGGAGGTAAGTCTATTGCACACCCCATAATATAAAAATAAGTACAGAGGAATGAAGCAATGGAATTGTCGGAAAGTATGTGTAAAGGTACTTAAAACTCGAGCAGACAATCATATACGTCCCAAATTTCTTCAAAATAGGGAAAAGACCAAATTGAAAATCAATATATTTGGCCACCAAATTGAACCAATAGTGAATAGCTTGAAGTAAATTAAACCCAAAAACTGAGAGGCTTGAAATGACTGTCAATATGCAACAAAATTCTCAATCATTCACCACAGTCGGGTTGGCTCATCATAATTGAACCTTTATTGTCATGGCAATACTCCGTTTCGTTGAGGGCCGGGATTTGATGACAATTAAACAAAGACGGCACTTAGAGGGGGGGGGGGTTGGGGTGTGCTTTCAAGTGCATAGCTTGATTTCGTCTGTGCCGTACTAACCACACATTCTCCACTGATCTGCTCAATTTCCCCTCAGAAAGCCCATATCCAGATTGTGAATATTTAAAGATTAGGTGATACACGTGTTCTCACACCAGTGTCTAAAACAATGCAATTGAACAATCAAGTTGGCGTGAGCCGTACTTAACTTTTTACATAAATTTTCTAACCAGAGCTCACTGTAAATAAATAAAAGTGTAAGGAAAACAGATGGAAGGTAGTTTCGTGCTGTTACTCCCGAAAACATCGAAGATGATATTGTGCGTTGTGGCGTTTATACGACTTGACGTAATCGAGAATTCGACAATAAAAGGCCTTGCTATTAACCCCTTTCATGGAAGGGTGATCTTTTCGACAATGAATTAACACTGCATTCTTGGCGCTAAAAACTCGCATTTTGACGTTTTCGCTAGAATTCTATTGGCATTTAGATTTGAGGTATTACAGACGGGAAGTGGCGTCATTTTGCGTTTTAGTCATGACTGAATTCGTTGAAAGGAGAAATGGTTAAAACTAATTTGAAATATGCTCATTAGATCTGTACGCAGCATATCCATTAGCCCACATCTTGAGCAGAGATGAGGTGAACTTTTTTTTGCTTCACATGTATGGGCCAACACCAGGTTTTGGCAAGCATTTGCTACCTATAGTTTGGAAAATTTTAATATCTTGCCACAGGAATGGAAATGTCATAGGAAATTTTCCATTTGAAATACGATAACACAACATTCAACAAGTATCCTTTTATAGGTGACTGGTGGGCTGTGGAGTTCTCCAACTCAGAAATAGGAAATCTATGTTGACGGATAGTGGTGTAAAAAATCTCGGTTGAAGAAGAGGCTGGAGGAGAGGGGGATGGGGAGTGATAGGATGAAGAGTTGTGTGTGTGTGTGTGTGTGTGTGTGTGTGTGTGTGTGTGTGTGTGTGTGTGTGTGTGTGTGAAACTCTCATTCAGTGGAAAGGCTCAACAAAGTACTCGTAGGCCGGCTGTCTGATTTCACGGACTTTGCTCATTGGTGAGCGGCGTCGGTAGGTTTACAAGTACATCACGTGGCAAAATGTGAATACAATTATGGAGTAAAAAAATTCCCTCCCCCCTCTCAGCTGGTAAGTAATTTGCCTTACTGTGGACATGGGCAGATCACCCAGAATCAATAATACTGCAGATTTGTATCTGCAACAAGCCTTTGCAAGCATTTCTCACTCATCAACGCAGTTGTGAATCCTGTTATCAGTCTCGTTATTCAATAGTCACCGATGTCAAAGCACCAACAAAGGATGATAAAGAGACTTTGCATGAAAATGGAGTATTTAAATTTGTCACATCTTCAAAAGAATTAAAATGGAAACGCTTCCAAAGTTGGTCGGTCAGGTCCACATGTGGTCACTTGGAAACACTTCGAGTAATTGCTTGTGTGCTGTTGCCAGGAGAGAAGCCTAACTCACTAATCGTCTCGACATCAACATGGAGGATATGCTTATTGCAAATCATAATTCGCTTGAATTATCGCCACAAATAAGCAATCCTACTTTCGTCTAATTGGTCTGCTATGGTGTCTACATGCATACCGTAGTACCATGTACACTAAAGTCCTTTCTCAAATTGGGATTGAGTCAGAACTCGAGGAGTTTTCACAATCCCTTGTAGAATTTGAAAAATGCAACTGCGCAAGTAAGCTTTTAACAATTAAAAGATATACGTATTTTAAACCGCGCAATTAGAGTGCCGAAACCATTGGTAATTACCTCTTCAATGTTTAATAGCTCAAAATAATATTAGTTTTGGAAGGTCATTTTTATACTGAAGCACGAATTGGTCTCCGACTGTTCAGATTCCTGGGCCTCGCTGGTTCAACTACCTAAAATACCCCACACTCATCGACATTGCCAGTAATAAAATCCTCAAATGAAATGCGTTTAAAATGTAAATAAAGGGACGTTGCAGAAATGGTATGTTTTTGCCTTGTCTTCTACTCTCGCTGAACCGGAGGCAACTGTATCCTAAGGAAACCATTTTGGTTAGACATAAAGAGTCACATTTGGTTGCGTTGCCAAATGTGTCAAGGTGTTCATGATTGCTTTAATAGTTTGAATCCTCCCTCATTCATATGTGATGGCAACGAGAGGCAGTGATGACTAGAGCCCATCTGAATCATGCTGGAAAATGAGTTGTATCATGCTGCTTCGTTCAGGCCAATAAATAAAACGTAGAGAATAAGATGGTTGATCAATGCTTCTCTAACATTACAAATTTCGAATGAATCTGCTGCCAACAAAATGCTGGAGGTCTCTGACGCTGGAATCTGGGGTTTATTGTCGTAGTCTCTACCAAAAAATGTACTCTCAGTAAAGCCATGCACTACTACAAACTCATACCACTGTCAGATTAGTGAACTTCTTACAGAAATGACCAGTAAAAAGCGGCACCCGAAAAAGCAAGGCTACTTCTGGACAAAATTAAACACCTCACTGAAACAAAAGTAAGCTGGATCTTTGTGATAGGGAAAACGTTTTCTGATATGAAAGTACAGCACGCAGAGTGAAAGATGGTTCGCATGAGATCAAAACGGTACTCTTCTTGCCAACCAGGCTGAATTTTCACCAACTGTCATGCATTTGGGGTGCGTACAACTCCACGTGTAATGTGTTACCTCCTCTCCCCTCCCCACATTTTTGACATTTCGCTTAAATTAAATTGGGATGCCTTCTAAGAACAACTGATCAGTGTAGTAATTAAGCCACCGTCAGAAGAAAAGGTAATGATATGATTGTCAGCTAACATTTACAACTGCCAAATGTCCCTACGTATTTATAACCTCCAAACCTGCCAAACCTCGACCTACGCTACCCCCCCCCTCCCCTGTAACTCAGATTTTCATATAATTCTATTCTGCGCTATGAAGAAAGACACTATTCACCTTGACAGTACTACAAAGCCCCCTCCCCCAGTTAGTGGACAGAAAGAAAGGCTTTTTGTAAGACCTTTAAAGGGAAAGTGAAAAATCAGCTTTCTCCATGTTTTGATGCCGTTTGAATTAAACTGAGGTGATTATTTGTAGTAAAGGTAATTGAAAATTGTGTAATTTACCGATATTTCAAGGATCTTTTAAACCAAACTTTGGCAAATAAACTGAAAATTTTGGAGTTTTACTCCACCAAGCACAACGAGTAATAGTTCTTTGCTGAGAACATTCAGGCACGTATTTTAGATTATAAAGCACTAAGTACAATTTAAGAGAAGTTAATTTTTAGCTTCTTTGGCAATGAATCCTAAAGCAGACCAAAAATAAAACTATTACTAAATAAAACGATGAAGAGAAGGAATCTATGTCATATAATGTAAATACTATAACTTCCTGAATATCTTGCAAATAAATGACTAATTTTCTTATTCATAAATAAACCTTGTATAATTTGAGCTCTAAAAATACATGTAATCCAGGCAGTTTAATTTATTATTCAGACTTATGTATATCAATTAATTTTTCAAGTGTATCCAAATGTAAAATTGCGCATTAATTAAATATAATTAGATTCTCAATAATAGAATTATTATTATTATATTATAAATAATTATATTTTAAATGTTTTCATACATTCTATTAAATAGTTACACGCTGCGGTTTCTTCAGCGTGATCTTTAAGGCAACCAATTAGAGTCAGACAGTTGGCACCTCGAAGTGTGCATTTTCGTCCTGCATTAATTCTAAATGAAGTCAAACTTCTTATTAAATTCTAAAAGCAGCAAAGGCCTTCTTACTATTGTCATCCTAGCATCGGCATGGGCAGTAGGTTTCTTCTCCCGACTCTTTTCTGTCATCCGGTTTGAGAGCATTATCCATGAGTTTGACCCGTGGTTTAACTATCGGGCCACCAAACGAATGGTCGATTACAGTTTCTACGACTTCCTTAACTGGTTTGATGTGACTGCATGGTATCCACTTGGCCGGATTGTCGGTGGAACCGTTTATCCAGGTTTAATGATTACTTCTGGTAAGAACTGTAGCATATTAATTTTTGCGTGGTTTGGATATGAATTAATAGTCCTTTCAAAAATTTTCTTTTCATTTTTAGGTTCAATTCATTACATTCTACGATTGCTCAATATTCCAATACACATTCGTGAAGTTTGTGTTTTCTTGGCACCAATGTTTAGCGGTTTGACTGCCATCATGGGCTACCTCTTGACCAAGGAACTCTGGAACGATCGTGCTGGACTATTTGCAGCCTGTTTTTTGGCGATAGGTGCGATAGTTAATTTTAATTCAACTGCCTTCGTTTTTGCTATTTAATCTCTTGCTTATGCTTCTTAATCCAACTTATAACGCTACAAATGAAAGTAGCATCGAATTGCCGCGTATCCACATTTTACAATTTTTTTCTAAATTCCTGTTTTATGGCTTATTTTAATGTAGTTGATTGTTCTCTAAGTCATTTTGCTTATTTTAAGCTAATCTTCCCATTTGCGATTCCTATCAATTTTTCAACTTCTTACAGCGTTACTATGATATCTATTTCGAAATTTATGTGGAACGTCAATCATCCCATTGTTATTCTTAAATACAAAATTTATTACCTGATTATATAATTTTATAGTTTCATCCTTTTCAAACTTATTTCCTATTTGCTTTTCTTTTCCTCTAATCAGTTGGAGAAAGTCTGTACTTGTTTCCGCAACCTTGTTGTTACGGTTTATTATGCCCTCATTAACTATTTGCTAATTGAGTATACAAGTGCGTTTTTGGTTTATTTGATACAAGCGATTCGTTGCCTATTTGGTAACTTTGCTGCTAGCGTTCATCAGTCTGTTCAATAATGTGAGATTCATTGGAACCGAATTTGGCAATTAGTTAACTTTTCCTTAATGAGTGCTAAGTGGTAGTATATTTTGTTATCCTTTCGTCATTCTCTCATAATAAAGTTTTCTCAGATATACCTCAAATGCCTTTGACATTCTTTAAAGCCGCAAATATTTTAAATCTTGTCGTCAATTAAATTCCGGTTTATAAAAATATACAGTCTTGAAGGTTATGGGAATCAGTCATATGTTTTCTTTTGCAATAGCTAATAATAAAATGTCATTCAAATTATTGCCTTTTTAATTATCCAAAAAGGGGGGGGGGTGGGTTTCAAGTCGCTTTTGATATGATGAAACTTCTTTTATTTACATTTTGGTATAGTAACAATAGCATATGTGTTTGCCTTTTTTCTCATTCCTCTTCAATGTGGGTTACTACTTGATTGAAGTGTCCTCATTACTAAGTGTTCTCAATGCAGCTGTTCGCTTAAAGTTGCTACGTTTGAAATACTTTATTTTCTTTTCAACTATAAATTCTATATCGGCGGGTATTTTCCTGATTTTATTAGTTTAGTTTATCCACTAATACCTTTTGAAGATACACTCCGAGGCTGAAGTGAATACAATGAGGTAATTATGGAGTTTCACTGATTTTGCCTAATGCTGACAGATTCCTAGTTTATTTTCATGTCTTCAATCAATGCTATTGAACTAAAGGTTATCCCACCTCAATTACCTTATTGCTTGTTATGACACACTAAAGTAGGTAAATAATGAAGTATTAATTTATTGGTATTATTTCGCTGTTTTCAATGTGAATAAGCGTGTTACAATTTGGGTAATAGTTTATTTTGCTCATTTAGTGTGACACCTCTTCGTTGTCACAGTCCTGGTGTGTTTTTTTGGGAATCCTCAGTACTATGCGAGAAATGCTGCCTCAATGAATTGGAATGGGTTTACTTTATATTCAAAAACTCTTCTTTGTACCTTCTCTCTCTCTGCGTGTGTGTACTAAAGAAAATTAAAATAAATAGTACCAGATAAGTGTAGTGCTTGCCTCATGGTAAACTTGCGAAGTTCGGGATCACGGGTTCAGTGTCCACTGAAGTGCACCCACTAGCAGTAATCGAATTTATCATCTAGGAGACTCGATGTTCGGGGCATCAAAATAATGCGTTTCCGCTTCTTGTCAGGTTGATTTTATGCGTGACTAAATGTAAAACTTCCTTTAATCTGCTGACATTATATATCTCTTCCCTTTAGTTCCCGGATATATCAGTCGGTCAGTTGCTGGTAGCTATGACAACGAGGGAATTGCTATCTTTGCTCTTCTCCTAACCTATTTCCTCTGGTTACGCTCTGTTCGTACAGGGCATCTCTTGTGGTCAGTGCTATGCGCACTGGCCTATCTCTACATGGTCTCGGCTTGGGGTGGCTATGTCTTCATCATCAACCTTATACCCCTGCATGCTTTTGTGCTCTGTATCACTGGTCGCTACTCCTCACGTCTTTATGTTGCCTACACGAGTTTCTACATCCTCGGGCTCATTCTCTCCATGCAAGTACCTTTTGTTGGATTTCAGCCTGTTCGAACGAGTGAGCATATGGCTGCAGCTGGTGTCTTTGTACTTTTGCAGGTAATTTCAGCTTTCCTTCATACTTATTCTTTTCTTCTAATCATATGTATATGTATATTAACTGTGCACTTGTGGCGCAGCGATAATCAGTGAGTGGTCGTTTTGGATGTCATGAATTGGAAGGTAGGCTGGGCGAATTCTCTTTTTCCCTAGCCTGTTCCCAAGAGATGCTGGGGAGTCAAAATGCTTGGGATGTGTTGGTGTTTGGTTTTGAACTCTCTTGGTATTAGACCCTCCCCGAAACATCATATTCTCAATTGGTGCTTATTTTTCGTTAGAACTGTTAAAATGACACACTACCCGTTAAGGTCTAATTGCAACCTTTATTAAGAGCTTAGTTCATGATAAATTTATGCATGCAAGGATGCATTTGGTGCGATGATTACTGAGGTCGCGCGTTTGAACTTCATCAACAGACGCGCAAAATGCGACAAGGTTAATAATGAAAACACCTTCCAAAGTGATTTTGAAAATGTGATATTGAGGTCAATAATTAGTATGATTAAGTTAATTATACTGAAACGATCCAAGTAGGCGTATTAATCTTGGATATTATAATGATGTCGGTTATCTTTTTTTAATTATTATTTCACAGGCAGCGGCTTTCTTTCAATACCTTCAAACCTTGGCACCCTCTAGCAAACTTCGTCCTCTTTTCACAATGGGCATCGTCGCTATAGCTGGTCTGGTCTTCCTTGTTGTCTGTGTTTTAACAGTAGCCGGTGTCATTGCTCCCTGGAGTGGTCGGTAAGTTTATTTCTCTCCCATTGATTTAGACAAAAAAAAAAAACAATTTTAATTGGAAAACATTTATTTATATCAAATGGCAGGCATTTTGATACTTTCATTAGCCCTTTAGGTGACTTCAAAGTAAAAAATATTCGAGAGGGGGGGACAGAAGAGTGTTTCAAAGATGTAAGAGAGACAGACACAAAGGTAGAAAAAAGGTGAGGTGAGTAGTGTGGAAGTAGTCGAATATGACATACAGTGGGGTCATGGTAGTTAGAAGCCAGAAGTCAACTGCCGGTTAATAGGCTATTTTGCCGTATGAGTATACGTTGCCCAGGGTGCACCAGTTTTTTGCCGTATGAGTATACGTTGCCCAAGGTGCACCACATTTTTGCCGTATGAGTATACGTTGCCCAGGGTGCACCACGTGGAGGTGAGTCTATCGCACACTCCAATTGGAAAACATTGAAACTTTGGTGTTTCATAGATTCAAGCCATAATGCGTAATATGTTTTATGTAATGGAACAGCTAATCTGGTAAGATATCCAAACTCAGACCGGTGCTCATAAAGTTGTAGGTGTGTTTATTCATGGATGCTCTGGTGATGCACATTTCCCGTCATATTGCTCGACCCGGAGATCTAGACACTAGGCTTGGCAGAAGAGTTTTGATTTGGTGTTCTTTTTAAATGTATTGCATATGAGCCTGGTGGCGAAAACGAGCCGAATTTGCCTAAATCATATTTGAAAAGATCTAAAGACCACTACGGTTTAAGGCGAATAGAGCTATGTTAGGACATGATATTTGGGGGTTTCACATATTAGAGGAATTACTCAAATCCGTCATCCCCCATAAACAAGTATGTATGGACAACGAATCTATAACTCAGTTCACAACCGTCTTGTCTCATATACTGCTTACATTTTTAATTTATTGTTACTTTTGAAATATGTCATCAAAATATCAACCCATGCTTCTGTATTTTTTTTGAGATTCTACTCTCTCTGGGATACTGGCTACGCTCGAGTTCACATTCCAATTATTAGCTCCGTGTCAGAACATCAGCCAACCACGTGGACTTCCTTTTTCTTTGACCTTCATATCCTTGTCGCCGTCTTTCCCGCGGGTGTGTGGTTCTGTTTCTCCGAATTGAACGATCTTCGCGTCTTCGCTATCCTCTACGCCATTTTCGCCTCCTACTTTGCGGGCGTTATGGTACGTCTTATTCTCACTCTGGCCCCCATTGTCTGTGTTTTGGCCGCCATTGCCTTCTCCCGCCTCTATGATGTTTACCTACGTGGGGACGCTTTAACCGCAGAGGGGAGTGAAGAGGAGGAGGCTAAGAAAAAGCCCTCAACTTCGCGTGAGAAGCAACTTTATGACAAACCCCCTAGATCATCTGAATCCGGGAAACAGAAGGGAAGATCGCACTCCAACTCTGAAGGCAGCGGCAGTGATGACTTTTTAGGAATAAGCGTTCGCAAGGTCGTTGTCATGGTAGCGACCTTTGTGCTCTTCCTCTTTATGTTCCATTGCACGTGGGTCACATCCAATGCTTATTCAAGCCCCTCGGTTGTGCTTGCGTACTATGGACCTCGTGGAGAACGTATACTGCTGGATGATTTCCGTGAGGCTTATTATTGGCTGTGGCAGAATACACCAGAAGATGCCAAAGTGATGTCATGGTGGGACTATGGTTATCAGATTGCTGGAATGGCCAATAGAACAACCCTAGTTGACAATAACACCTGGAATAATAGTCATATCGCCTTGGTTGGTAAAGCCATGTCCTCAAACGAAACTGTCGCTTTTAGAGTAAGTTGCTTGAAATTAAAATTTTGCATCCACCTCATCTACAGGTTAAAAAAATGGAGCCTCTTAATTTCAGTTGATGCAGTCGCTGGATGTGGATTACGTTCTAATTATCTTTGGTGGAATGAGTGGCTACTCTGGAGATGATATTAATAAATTCCTGTGGATGGTAAGGATTGCGCAAGGAGAGCATCCAAAAGACATTCATGAGCAGGATTATTACACAGCCCAAGTAAGTGGAACCTCAGGCTTACACACTCGCGTAAAGTAAAAAGACGTCTAACATTTTTATCGCGTTCCTCCTGTAGGGTGACTACAGAATAGATCATACAGCGCCTCCAGCAATGGTGAACTCTCTGATGTACAAAATGAGCTATTACCGATTTGCAGAGATGACAATCGACCCGCGAATGCCAGCAGGCTTTGATAGGGCTCGAAACTCTGAAATTGGAGTGAAAAATATTAAATTAACTCACTTGGAAGAGGCCTTTACTTCCGAGCATTGGATTGTACGTGTTTACAAAGTAAAGAAGCCGGTGAATCGTTTGGCAGTTGAGGGCACTGGAAGTGGCAAAAGGCGTCGGGCTTCGAGGAAAACGAGTTATGATAGACGCGGCTTGGTGGGATCGAGGTCGAAAATTGTAAAGGGTGCTAGACCATCTACTTCCACAGTCTAGGCTTTTTGATGTTTGCTGTGATGTGTTTCATTAAGGTTGGGGGTCTTGAAATTCCTTCTTTATGTAATGAAGTCTTGTAACAATACTGTCCTACCCCCTATTCTCTACCTGTTTACACTTCCTTATTTCCTCGCAGTCTCTTGTACTCCATTGTGTTTCTATTTGGAAGAACAAAAGTGAGATACTTTGGTTAAAATGCCTCCTATTTTTTAGTAATTTAGTCCTCTACAACCAGACAACTTTTCTTAGCCGTTGGGGGGGGGGATTCGAGAGACATGAGAAGGGCTGTACTAAACTTCATGAAAAGGCTTAAATACCATGATTGGAATCGTCAGTACAACGATTGGCAAGTCCGTACTTTAATGGGAATGAGCATTGTTTGGCATTAGCGATAGGGTTACGTAATATTTTTTATCGCACACCCCATGTCGAATCGTAGTGATGTTAGCACGCCATAAGGCAGGTAAAATAACGTTTTGGGTCCAGGAAGCCTATTCCAACTTATTAATTTTCCTACACCACCTTTCGTTGAAGGACTAACATCAAGACACTCAATCTCTGGATCACAATTCACCCACTGAAATTCCTATGAATACCAAGCATAAAGTTTATTATGTGAATATGTATATTAATCTGGAAAAGTATTTTATCATCGAAGAAAAATTAAATCAGCGAGTTTTTATAAAGGCTTAAAGTTGGCTGCGAAAATGAAGAAAGAATGAAATTAACCAATACCGCTAGCGATTGACAACGAATGTCAACCTCGTTAAATCTACCACGTTTGTGGTGCCCTATTTCGTAATTTAGATGGAACATTTTTCGGTTTTTAAAATAATGGGGTCTCATTCAAGGTGTATCAAAAATTTTCTACTGATGATGTTTACTTAGCTCAACCATTTTTACTATTAAATAGGGAGATTGTAAACACCCTATTGATTCAAATTAACTTGAAAAGTAGGGATGTGCGATAGACTTACCTCCATGTAGTGCACCCTGGGGCAACGTATACTCCTACGGCAAAAAAGTCTATTAACCGGCAGTTGACTACTGACTTTAAACTATCTTGACTCTACTGTATGTCATATTCCACCAATTTACAGTACTCATCTTGCCTTTTCTCTGCATTCGTGTCTGTCTGTCTCTTTTAAATCTGTGAGTCGTTCCTCTGTTCCGATTCTCGACTTTAGTGAAGCCCGAAGTCAGCTGAAGGGCTAATGATGGCCATCAAAACGCCTGTCATTTGAAAATAAATTAATGTGAAAGGTAGCAACGAGAAACTTCAACTTTAAAGCCTACCAACTTAACAATTCTCTACGACTAACAACAAAGCACATATTGGAACAATGTAAAACTAATAAATCGGATTCACCTTCCAGTTAACTCCAGATTGTATACAATGCTTAGAAAAACGACTATTTGAGAAGAGGATTTACCACTTCTCTCAAGATAAGAATGCTGTAGGCAAGACATGTCATGTCAGACAGCTTCGAATATGTAAAAAAGTCAAATCTATAATAGGACTCATGGCACTTTATTATGAACAACTATTTCGCTTTTTCGGGAAATCATAAAACACCGATAATTAAATAATTGTATCACTTCGAAATCATTCGCGTAATTTACACAACCAGCTAGCTCGAAAATTGGGCTTTTTTCTGAGAGGTGGGAATAAGCCCAATGAATCCTCGAATCTCCGGTGTGATAGAAGGATGTTGATGGCGTTTGCAGACTCTCACGAGTTCCATTCTCTCATCCGGCGAAATTCCTTCGCGATAGAACTCCAAGAAAGTCAGGAAACTCGTAAACCATGTAACCGGCATTCTACCCTCGGCTGTAAAATGCATTGAACAATCCCTGTCGGCAAATCTATTAAAATATTGGGGGGAAAAATAATTCAGAATTTGAATCAAAAGAGAGAAAGCCCCTCAAAGACTTGCCAGATGAGAAATCTCTTAACGAGTATCAAACAAGCAGTGAATGAGAATCTAACTCCAAAGTGAACTTAATGAAAACCCACCAAAAGCTTGGATAGATAAGTAATAACATGGAATCTTCTTAATGAAGATTTCCAAATATGCTGATCCCACTGTTGGATGAAGTGGTGATCATTCCACTCAACGTAGTCGAGGCGCTGACAAGCCTCAGATATACATTTATTAAAAAAGGTTAAGCAAACAAATTAGAAGAAGCCTCAGAAAACAAAGGACTATGGAATGGTCCCAAATAAGAATTTTGGAAGGGAGGGGTGTTGCATATTGGTTCGTAAGTTAGAAAATCCTTAATGCAGTGCAAATACTACTAACAGATAGTTTATGTCCATGATGCCAAGATCAAAAACATTTTCACCCAAAGTGGGCTTTTAAGACCAATATAAAATTCACTGCACATATATGTAGAAATTCAGTAGTGGCCAAATCTGATAAGGTGCAAGATAATTAAGCAAAAGGCGGTTTCAGGCAAACAAATCTGCCAACACGTGTGTACTTACGAGACAAAATATCTGACAAGACATGCGATCGCTTTCTCAGGAAGAATGTAACGTTTTTTGAGAATCGATTCAATCACCATTGAACGTGGAATGGAGAATTCTTCCTCTAGAACGAGCACCAAAGCAACAGAAGAGAAATGAGCCTTAATTGAAGCCTTCTTAACAAGATGAGACAAGATAATTCCCTCTGTTTTAGTCATCTCCGCCTGAAATACGCAAACAGGATAAACATTATGACAAATTAAGAACCAATTAAATAGAACAACTAATAGCCTACCCTAATCCATGGCAAAAAAATACTTGACAAGAATTCTTCAGTTCGAAAAATTGACAAGATAAGGGAATCGAAAAGATGAACACAAAGTCGATGATTTTCCGAAATATCATTACGAACTTTCGGAAGCAAATAATTTTCATAAAAGCTAAAAACAGAAACAAGTTAAAATTCACGAAGATGACGTCATTAGGACTGGTAAAAAATTAGTGATAGACGTACTGCATTGCCTGTTGTCCACCCTTAGAAGCAAAAACTTTAACTATCTTGGGGTAAACATGAACTGTCCAGTCTAGAGGAGAAAGCATTTCAAGAAGGCCGTCATATCCAGGCAGATGCGGAAGCATTTTAACAGTTTTAGGCAGAGGACCACTACGATAATGAGTGAGAACATCTTTTAAAAGTCGAATATGATTTTGAAGATCTTCTGGAAGAGCCTCAATGTCCCCAACTGATTGTAAATCATCCAAATCTCCAGCGAAGGAACCGCAATACTCTGGCAACTCCTCAGCTACCATCGACTTTGCTTCGTCAATATTATGGAGAAGTTCATCATTACTGGTGTTAGGATGAAAGAATTTTTCCCATTCCTCTTTGTATTCGTCTGTATCATCGTAAAACACTTCATTTTTAATTTTTTCAGATACTTCTATGTCATCAAAATCCTCGTCGTCAATTTTTACATCTACTATTTTCGGTTTCCTAGAAGAACGTAATGAAGGGAAGAAGTTAACGTACTTGGGAACTTGATCCAAATCGATTTTTGATTGCTGCATAAGCTTATGCAGTTTTTTGACAGACCGCACATCAAGAATCTATACGATGTTGAGATAATAAAAAACTTTCAAACCTGCGTATCATCGATATCTTCACGTTTTCGCTTACTACCCGGCTTAGGCATGACTACCACGAGACAAAATACGGAAAGATAGTGCACTGAATTTCCCGCTTAGTAAAATACTACAAACAAAAAATTACAAAATAGCGATATGTAAAAATATTAAAAAATTCAATCTGAAATCAAAAAAAATACAAAAATCAATAACAATTGTGTTTTACCTGGTACAATGTTTATGGTGATTTCTAATGCAAAGCTAAAATATGTGAAAATTTATAGAAGAACTTTCTTTAAATATACTAGCGTTTCAAAAATTAAACAAAATGATTACTTTAATTATAAATTGCAGCATTATTCAAGGTTTTCTGTGAACCTCTGGATTCATTTGGAAATAGCATGTTTGGCAAAATAATGTAAAGATTGGAAATTTTATTTCATTCCGTAGATTTGTTCTATCGATTTCTCTTTCATAAATGGCATGAAAAATATAGTTTCCGTTAAAAGTGTTTTAAATTAATTATGGCCATAAATATTGGATATTGGGTATAATAATAAAATATCAATAGCATAGATGAATGCATAAAAGGCATTTAATTGGTTATAAATCTTTTCCATATGTTTATTTTTTCTGTTTTGTCAGTTTACTCTTTATGTGTTATTGACGACTTTTTCCAAACTAAATTAACATTCTACATTGACCTGCGAATGGCTATAAAAGTCCTTTAAAAATTCATTTTCATAAAATTGTTGAAAATGAAACACCTAAATGAATTGTGTTCAGGAAGCCTTATTAACATCAATAATTATATAATATCTGCTTTATTTGCTACATGTATAGTATTTTTTAGGCACGCGCAATCAAATTAGTTGTTCTGGCTCAATAGCATCTTTCATAAACACGTTTACCATACATTGTTATAAAAATCAATATAACCGTCCCATTTATGTTTTTTGGGTCAGCTTGGTTTTAGATAGAATCTCCGAATTGATGTAATTTGTCAAAATTTGGCATATCTATGCTGTCATTTGATAACCCGAGATGAATATTCTCTACCTGTTGAGGGAATGCGTTTTAATGCCGTTATTTAATATATGTTAGAAAAAATATCTTAGATTGTGTTTTACCGTTAAAATTCATTTAATTTTATGCTTCAAAACCGTTTACAACGGTTTCATTTTGATTGGCTTATATTGTGCGCTCAACGCGACTTATCGCCGTATTGCTCTAGCTTCTGTTTCCTCTCTTTTTTGTGAGTGTTTTTGGGTACCATATAGTCTAATATTTCAGATACCTAATATGCCACAAATAAATAATTTTTTGCTTAGTTTATTTCACTCGCTTTATATATGATATTTGATTGATTTAGTTATATTATTTTTACTAGATTTGTGTGGTAATTATGGCCACTTACTATGATCTTCGCCGAGTCCAAGGTCTTTGTTCATGCAATCGCAGTGCGCCTCTATCTCAACTCTATTTTTGTCGACATTGCTATGACGTTCGTTGCGGAAACTGTGTATCCCATGAAGTTGATTCCCATTACTGCCCAAATTGTCTTGAAAATATGACCAGCGCGGAGGCAAAAATGCGAAAACATCGTTGTGGCAATTGCTTTGAGTGCCCAAGTTGTGGTCACACTTTGTCCACTCGTGGAACTCTCGCTTTAGCTCCTGCATCTGGTATTACTTCAAGCACATCTCCAGGGGAGGCACCGATGACTCCTCAAAAGACATACTATCTTCACTGTGCATTTTGTCGTTGGACTACTCGTGAAAGCGGAATTCCAGATCAAAAATCACCTGGTGGTTGGCAGGAGAAGCCTAATCTTTTCGCTGAAAGGGTAAGTGCTTTAATTTGGAAAAATTCAGTGTGTTGGATTTGCCTTCAAATGTGTGGAACATGATTCGCTATAAATCTGCAATTAGAAATTATATGGGATGAGCCATTTCTTCGATTTGCTTATTAATGGTGCCAGCTCTAACTGGAAATTTGATCAATATTTAGATTTGAGCGATTAATACTGTCTACTTGAGAGGATATCTAAAAGCATGATGTCGTTGTGCCTAAAATATATAACCTGAAAACCATTCCAAAATTAGTTACTAAAAGTTTGGCGGCATATATAACTTACACTTACAAAAAAGGTATGGCCGAGAATGGAATCTGTAATTGTTAATCTGAGTGACCAACAATATGTGCATGCATTCTTGCTGTAATGAATCTCCCATTTCCAGTTGCTTTCTAAATTGAAAGTGAATATTTTTATAAATGAATATTTCATGCGAATTTTCGCTAATTTTAACTGATTGACCACGAACGTTATATTTCTACCTCATTGAAAGTGCAGAATTAAACAGTCACATATAGCTATATTAATGATAGTCATCACCATGAAACTTCTTTAAATTTTTGTATATTTCAGGGAAAAAATACTTTGATCTTGTGAATAAGCAATAGATCGTCAGTTTTCCTTGAATAAATTTCGTTTGGTGAAAGTATATGTTATATTAATAGCCTAATTGACTCTTGTTTAATCCGTCTTTTCTATTTTTTTTGTATACAGATTGAAAAGCTCATAAATGAGTATGGCGAATTCGCAAAGAAGGAGAAAAACGAGAAAGAGCGTAGCAAATACAAGAAACGGAAGTATATCCTCTCCGTGGTATGTTCTTGTGGTTGTTGTTGTGGTGGTGGTTGTTGCACTCTTCTACCTTCTCTTCTTCTAACAGCTACTTCAGTAGTAGTAATGATGGGTTTGCTCTAACATTTAAATCTCATTTTTCTCACCCATTGTAGTCTCATTTAGCGGTAAGTTTGTTTGCTGTAGTCTCGAATTTATTCAATCTATTAATTCGAATGTGATGACCCTAGTTATTATCATTATTATCTCTTTTGCATGATTAGTTATTTTGCACCTCCCACCCCTCTATCTGGCTCACCTAGAGGAATTGTAAAATCCAAGATCTTCTTTGTAGGAGAGATTTCCCGTTCTAACGCCCCGTTTTCGCAGACGATATTCAAACTGGGGTTCCTATGGGTTCGTTAATTCATGGGAAAATAGCCCTCCTTAGAGATAAATTGTTTGAGTATAATTTTTTTATTGATTTTAGAAGGGATACAAATCCCAGTGTGGATATTAAAATCTCATCTGCGGAGGCTGCACCCGTAACAGAAAGCTTCAATGTTGACGATTTGGTTAGCAAACCGTTTGTCTTTGAGAAAGGTGAGTTTCTCTTGCTACTGGCCTAAATTAAATATGCAAATCGTGTTTCGTCCTGCTATATTGGTTTATCTCCACCCTAAACAGTGTATATCTCTAAGTCGTTTGCATAAGTTGCGGCTTTTTTAATCAACGCTTACACCAATATTTTATTTATATCAAATGGCAGGCGTTTTGATAGTTATCATTAGCCCTTTGGTTGACTTCAAGCTTCACAGTGGGGAAGGGACATCAAAGTGAAAGAAAGTCGAAAGGGGGGGAGGAACAGAAGAGCTTTTCAAATATGTATTAGAGACAGACACAAAGGTAGAGGAAAAGGTGAAGTGAGTACTGTAGAAATGATCGAATATGACATGGAGTCAGGTCATGGTAGTTTGAAGTCAGAAGTCAATTGCCGGTTAATAGACCTTTATTGCCGTTTGTGTATACGTTGCCCAGGGTGCACCACGTGGAGGTAGGTCAATCGCACATCCCGCTTACACCAATATTTAAGATGTTCATAGTTCGAGGTAGTCCTATTGACATTTGATTTTTTCTCGTGCCATTTTGAACTTCATCAGAGATTTAACTAATCCCTGTTTACTAATTTCTGTATATCATTTTACTCTGGTGTGCTACCCAACTGTATATTTTTTGCCATTGTTCGATCACGAAGCAACTTGGGTCTGGAAGTGCTTGGGGGTTAACTCTCTAACACCCTGCAGGACTGCACGATCCTCTTTCAAAATAAGCTCCATTGGTACTGGACTCGAAAGAGAAGGCGCTGCTATTGTCGTTTGAAACATGTTCGATAGTGTCTATAGCCTTTGCCTGATTCCACCAAATCTCATCCTTTTAACATCATTCTGTTGTGAGATACGTGTGAGTGCGGTCGGGTTCAATTAAAAAAATATAATAATTCGGTCGTTAAAGGGCTAAATAATGACATTCTAGTCCTGCAAATGTCCAAATACAAAGTCTTTGGAACCTCTTTGTTCAAATGTCAATATATATAATTATGGATCATTGCAAGGGTATATGTTCAGGTTGATGCAAAAAATTCTTCCGACTAGTGCAATTTTCTTTCTGATTCTTGTCACTACGACTTGTTCAATCCCATTTATTAGAAATATTTCACTAGACGCGAAACATGCTGAACAGCTGGTTGAATTGTGTTGAATATCAAATGGAGCGGATTTATCTCCCAAACAATTGCAAGGACGTGTTGATCTAACGTTACCCTTGTGCTTGAGTAAATCAAGCGTGATTTCACACTCAATGTACCTTTCGATGACTCTCAAATCTTACCTCTATTATTTGCACGACGTTTTCTTTATCTCTTGAGTTGTCATCGCTGTTTTCACAGGTCTACTCGCATTTTGTAGACATTTAGATTTTTGGAAGCTGGTTGTCTCCTTTTCGCTGTTAGTGCTGATATCTTGCCACGAGCCTCCACTTAATCGCGTCTTGTCCCACTATATCTTTCTCTGATATTTTATCAGGTATCTACCGTCTCCATTTTTACCGTTTGATTCCAGGCTCTTTTTTTTAAAAAAAAGTTTTTTTCAGCTCTCTTATCTTTGATTTAGTCACATTACGAAACCTCCATGGTGAGAGTTCCGTATCTTACCGCTCTATCTCTGTATTCTCCGATGAGAATCGATCCGTGATCTCTACTTCCACGGTTACCAATAATGGTTCAATTATGCACATTATAAATCGGTTTCAATTAAATTAGTTTAATTGACTTCTGTAGGTAGGATAGTATGAAATGGGCTTAGGAGGTACTTCAATTAATTAAATTTTAATGAATCTACAATAATGTCCCATTGATGGCCTCCCCACATGAATAACAAATATTTGCGATTTGTAGTTTCTATAATGTTTCTCCACTTCCTTAAAGTNTGAAGTCAGAAGTCAACTGCTGGTTTATGGACTTTTTTGCCGTATGAGAATACGTTGCCCAGGGTGCACTACGTGGAGGTCAGTCTATCTCACCCCATATATATAAGTGTGTGTGTGTGTGTGTGTGTGTGTGTGTGCATTATCGCCCATGGGCTCCTATTTGGGTGTGGGGTTATTTGTTTCCAAAAATATTTTCATGAAATGGAATTGTTCGCTTTACTACCCTGATACCCTCTTCGAATGGTCAAACGGTTGAGTGTATATTTATAGCAAATATATACCCTGATTGATCCTGGCTACACAAATAACTGGTGTCATATTTGAGAATATCGATTATTACGCTAATCTATTTTTTGTAACTGCATAGCCTTGTCGAATTGCTAATTGAATTTTCCCCTGATTTTAGTAACTTCTATTCATCAACGCCATATGTCCCCATGGCTCCAACCCACGGAAACCCTCTCTTTGGAGCCTCGTCACAAAGCTCTCGCGGTGAAGCGTTCACTTCGTTGCAAAAAATGCGAGCATACTCTGAGCAAAGCCGATTTCAATCCCTCTTTCATAAAGTTTCGCATTAATCTCAGTGCCCTCTACCACCTAATTGACCTGCATTTCTCACTGCCACCAAGTGTAATTGAACCATCAGTGTCATCGGATCAACCGCTCCGACGTGTCACCCCTATGCCTCTGCCTACAGTCACATTTGACAGTGTTCCGCCCTCTCGTGAACTCAAAATCAAGAGTTTGTCGGTTGAGAAACCGATCAATGTGATACTAGTGTTATCTAATCCCGCGCATCGCATAACTACCGTGAAATTGAGGCAACTGACTCCAGAGGAAGAGACTGAGAAACTGAAGGAGTTTTTCATTAAAACTGGATCCTCGTCACCTACTTATTCAACCGTCAAGGTATGCTTTGTAAAGTAGGGAGCATTTCAGGCGGTTGCTATGGTTGGAAATTTAGTTTCCATTTATCAAGTAGAATTCACTATCCTATAGTTGTATAGATCTAGTGATATTCCATTCACCTAATAACGTTTTGTAATGCCCTCTTTCTGATATGCTTTTCCTTTAACTGAAATCTTCCGCTCTTTTTAGCTTGATCTTCCAACAACTGGAATCACGATTGCTGCGAAGAGTGATGTAAGCGAATACAATGATTTGGTAACTGGCCAGACGACTAATGAATTTCAGGATGACGACCCCAAGTAAGGCTTTCATTTCTCTATCTTAACCCTTCTCCCTATCTATCTATCTATCTATCTATCTATCTATCTATCTATCTAACTTCTTCTCTGTTAGATTGATCGCCTATCGACATGGACATCGTGTAGGGATTAATGTTGGCCTGCGTTTGTTAGCTAAAACAGAGGGCAGTCAACCGTTGCGTGCAGCCATTCAAATGAACTTTGATTATCTGAACACAACTGCCTCAATAGCAGATACGCGGACGTCCACAATGAATGCAGTTCTTGCAGCCGCAGCTCCTGGGATGATTTTAAGAGATAATGCAGCGACGACGAAGAAAAAGAGTGTGGAGGAGGAAAGTGGTAATCAGGGTGGGGATTACAGAGATGTTGGAGTCCTCTATCTTATGGATTTTGGTACAGAATGCTGAGGCGATGTGATTTTATTGAGCTGGGCCCTTTTTTGATTTCATTTTTTTTTGTTGAAGAAATTTTATCGGTTATGCTTTTTGGTCATAATATATAATCACTGCAAATTTTTCACTGACTATATTTGTTATAATTTTTGGCTCTTTGAACATAAACATCAGGCAACATGTCATCAAGTCGTGCATATTTTGAAATTAATCTCTTTGTATCTGATCAGATATATTATATATGGTATAAAATTGAACTCTAGACGCCATTGTATTGGAACTCCTCGAAAGTAGGTATTGGCTGGAGAATAACGCGTAAGATTTAATTATTGGGATTCTGAATAAAAAGGATTGGAAATGATCTTAAGAGAAGTATCGCATTATTTATTATCATGAGTAGAAAAGACACTAGGCGATGATGCTGAACCAAGGCTAAAATTAAATTTAATTCATTGGAGAATGAAACTGGAAATTGACTAAATAAATGCATTTTAAGAATAAAAATACTCAATCAATTAAGCGAACCAATCTAGTGATAATACGAGGCATGATATTATCGGGGTTTTCCGAAAATCTGAACAGGGTGGTTAAATTCAAAACTCCATTTCGTGGAACAATTTTTGGAACCAAATAACCGCAATTAAGTGCCCATGGGGGATGATGCAGAAGTAAAGTATTTTACCTAAGAATGTATAAATATAAATTTATAATGCTTCCTAATGTGTCTAGTGAAAGCCTGTTATGCATGCAGAATGACTTATCCTGAATGGGGTGAGTCAAACTTCAATTCCAAATGGAGAAATGTTGTAAGTCTACTTTATACCTTTAACACAAAATAATCGCGGACTTACGGAAAACATCGGCAATCTAATTATAGACCATTATCTAAATTTAGTGCCAGAAAAGTCGTATGACAAGCCATAAAAATATGCTTCATCCAGTTACCTTTTGAAAGACAAAATAAATTAAAGACTTTTCTTCTTGTAAATTTAAAATCTCTTTCTCCATATGTCCATAACTGAATGCAAAAAGTTACCCCAATTTTAAACTATCGGGGATTTTCCCATAAAACGAGGCTATATTACATTGGATTTATACCATTTGCGTAAAAATAAAAAAATGTTTGGCTGATTAGGAGTCAATTGAAGGTGCTAACCTCCTATTCTCCTTTACTACAAATAAAATATATAAATATAGTTCACTAATCAAAATAGGTTATGATATTTGAAACTTAATTCATTAGCATAAATTGTTGTCAATTTTTACTTAACGTTCATTTGTAACCAATTTGGCTTATAATTAATCCTATAAATAGGGCGTAATACGATTGGTTTCTGGTAGTCTATTTTACATCATGGTTTGCGTTCCTTGTCTGTTTGTACCATTCTTCCTGTGGATATTTCACAGATTTATTCTTCCGCTTCTGTTACCCTTTTTCCCCAGTCTTCGTGAAAAACTGGGCTACCATCCCGCAGTAGAAGCAAATGATGTATGTGATATTAAGTTATTTTGCCATTATTTCATTTCTTGACTAATTGAATTAAATCTGTGTTTTGGTAAATTTTGAAGAAAACTAATCAAACGGAGTCAGGTTCGATTTCATCTGAAGCTGTGATAACACCAGTAAGTTGGCTTTCATATATCACTTTCTGTTTTTAGAATGAGGAAAAAAAGGATCTATGATTAAAGACATTGTTAGTTTTGTGTCTCATTATCTTCTTTGGTTTGTATATCTAAATAAAATACAAATTAATCTTTTCAGCAATTTTCAGTTGATATTTAATTCTTTTCTTTTTCGCAAATCGTAATTTTCATTTTTATTGTTGCTAGTTTACCGGTTGTGTGGTTGTAGGGTTAACAGACACACGTGAACCGTCCTCGTATATTGATGAATTAGGTCTAGTTTTTTATACGCAAACAGAAGTTCGGGGGGGGGGGCAATGCTTTTTGGTGGTTGTGAATCCGGTTAATTCCGGGGGTAGATGGCTAATGCTTGATTGCTTTTTATTTGATATTTTGCTCTAAACGTATAAAAGATAGGGTGCGGTAGGCCACATTGATCGTGAAAGCCTCCCAGATAATTTATGAAACCACTTTGCAATACCCATATTAAGTATATTGTTAGCCTCCTCAGTGAATATTTATTTGTTTCAAATAGCAGGCGTTATGATAGTTATCATGGGGTGTGCGATAGACTTTCCTCCACGTGGTGCACCCTGGGTAACGTATGCTCATACGGCAAAAAAGTCTATTAACCGGCAGTTGACATCCCATACGGCAAAAAATCTATTAACCGGCAGTTGACTTCAAACTACCATGACCCCACTGTATGACTAACTACCATGACCACACTGTATGGCATATTCGACCACTTCTCTGTATGCATATTTGACCACTTACACAGTACTACATCACACTTTTTCTCTAAATTTTCAACCTTCGTCTTTGAAACACTCTTCAGTTCCCCTCCTCTCGACATTTTTTCAATTTGATGTTCCTTCCCATGAAGCCTGAAATATGCTACTTTGATGAACCTTCCCTCTGTGAAGCCCGTAGCACTAAAGGGCTAATGATAACCATCAAAACGCCTGCCATTTTATATAAATAAATAAATGATAGTTATCATTAACCATTTAGCTGACTTTGGGAAAAATTCGAGAGGGGGGGGGGTTGGAAAGAACAGTGATTCGCGGATGTAAAGGGACAAATGGACACAAATGCAGAGAAAAGATGAGTACTTTCGAAGTGGACGAATTTGACATACAGTGGGGACATGGTAGTTTGAAGTGAAAAGTCAACTTCTGGTTTATAGACTTTTTTGCAGTATGCGTGTACGCTGCCCAGGGTGTACTACGTGGAGGTAAGCCTATCGCGCATCCTCCTCATTGAATATCAGATCTGTACCTACCTTTTATTGGCATATTGACTTCCGCGCCAAATTGGTACAAGGTAATAGTTTTTTCGTATTTATAATTTTTCTTGCGATTGCTTTTATGCTTATTCTTGAATGGTATTTCACAGGATAATGTTCATAGACCTATTTAACTTCATTGTTCTTTTATATATTGAACACGTGAACCTAATGCACAGATCTCAGACCTCAATCAACAAATACCTGTTTTGAGTTTTCTCACCAATAAAATTCCGACTTGCCGATATGCCGTTTAATCAATTCCAGCTTAAAACTATTTATACACAAAATAGGTAGCTGTGTTTCTATCAGCCGGACATGAGGTTTTCTTTGGAAGCGATTGTTATGTTACCCCATTGGCGGATCGGACATTAAATAAAGCCCTCGCTATCTCCTTTATAATAAGTAATCTTTTCCTGATGATATTTTTTCAGAGGTTTCTTATCAAAAATACAAGTGGGACTAGGACCTCCTGCCGTATTTGGACCTGCTATGAAGTTTATGCTCATCAGTTACTATTCAATTCGTCGAAGGGTGTTGCAAGTTCAATTGATAGAAAAACACACCATGGAACGTAGAAATATGCAAAATTGAAAATTCACATTTCCCGGGCTCGTTGTACTGTACAAGATTTCCAAGTTTATAGGTTTCAGATGCGCTGTAGTAATAACTCTAACTATATCATATGCAGCTTAATTCCGTATAATTTATTTAAGCGTGATCCTCATTTATCGACAATAAATGCATCAAAGATTTCCTAATTTGCTGTCTAATTTGATATTTTTCTCAATCACCTCGTTGACTCATTATGAATTATCTTCCAACTCTTTGTAAACCCTATACTCATTCTCTTCTAGTGAATTGCATTAAGCTTATTCGATTACGTTCATATTATTATAACAGCTATTCATGCGGTATTTAAACAATTATCTTATTTTAGTTAACCTCCCCGAATAACCACAAATTCCAGTATACAGTAAAAGTAGCAAACAACTTGCCAACTTTCGCTCGAAAAAATTTTATAATATCCCAAAGAACAGCATTTTCTTTAAAAAATATCGCCTGGTGTATTTCCGACATTACATGAATTTAGCAAAATAAACCGCTTTTAGATCGTGAATTATGCTATATTGAGTTTTTAGCTATCCTGTTTGCTTTGAAAATCTTATTCATTAATTTACTCTTAATAAAACGGAAGGTTAATGTTATAATCACCTATCTAATTAAGATTGATATATTATTAATTCATCAAAGCAGGGTATCCATGTAACCTTGGTTAGGTTATTTAAATGAAATTAAAGCTGTCAAAGTGTCCAAAAGAAGAAAATCTATGTGCAATATTAAAAATCGTATACATTTACGACTTTAAAACCATTTATAGATTTAGCATTTGCAATATAGAAGAATATTTTACTGCTATTTAGATCAGTCAACGGTTGAGGCTATTTACGAATTTGATTCAAAATCACACGATTGGCTGGAAGGTAATCCAGAAGGTAATGTAATTGGAAATTTGATCTCCAGACTACCAACTGCAATTCATTTTCAGCAACGGCGCAAGGGCGTTTAAAACCGGAAATCATGGTGATACGTTTGATAAGATACACTTTGTGCTTTAACTCTTAAACATCCGAAATATACTTATAGTAATATCACTTGGTGGTTCCATAAATTGAATAATTGAAAAGTGCAAAAATAAACACAATCCATAAAACAACCAAATAGATCCTCTCAAAAAAGGAAAATTTTAAATGCAAAGAGAAATTTAATGAAGAAATAAAAGCAATTACACTTTTTTATCACAAGTAGAATGGAACTACTTAGTAGAAGTGAATGATAAATTTAAAAAAATTGATAAGTTATAATCAATAGCAATAATTGGAAACGTGAATATCGCAAAAAATAACATGATTAAAATATTAAACATCAGACACTTTAACATGAAATAATTGATTTCTTTCTATTTCAAATTTGGTTGCATTAATGCAAGATAGGTTTAAACTAAAACTCAATTAGTAACGTATTCTAATGATATGAAGGAATTTAAACCCGCAACAATAATTTAGAATGGACATTTATTTTGCGTTTAGACAAGTTATGTTCATATTTATGTTCAACCTATGTCAAAAATTTTAAATGGCTTTATGTTGTATGCATTAGATAAAATAAATAAAAGTAAACATAAAATAAATAGTATTTATTCCTAAATTGCGGGAAATAAATAAGCATCGAATTTTATAAACACATACATATTGTTTGAGCGCGCGCTACTTTCACTCAGTTCATGCTTCTCGTTCTTGGTTGGTATGTTGATTTCTTTCCGTTCTATTTTGATTCTTTAGACAAGAAAATGCAATCTAAGGATGCAGCTCGTCTGGAAAGAATTCAGGCCTTGAAACCTCTTTCCGAGCAGACTCGTATTGGTGGTAAAGGTACTGCACGCAGAAAGAGGAAGGTAGTTCATAAAACTGCCGCTACTGATGACAAGAAGCTTCAAGCAACTCTTAAGAAGCTTGGAATTAACTGCATTCCTTCCATTGAGGAGGTTAACATGTACAAAGCTGACGGAACAATGCTTCACTTTAAAAATCCTAGGGTTCAAGCCTCACCCCAGGCTAACCTTTTCACTGTTACTGGTCTTGCCGAAAATAAAAGTAAGGTTATACAAACTTCTTTGGTAATATTTTAAGGTCTTAATGATCTGTTTCCAAACATGATGAGTCAATTTGAGACAGCAAAGCAACGTCTTTCCAAAATGTCAGGTATGTTTTAGTTTCGCCTCTGAGTTTGGTTTCATTTACCTTTTATTGTTAATTTTAATTTTAGAAACTGCTCAAGATGAGAACGAAGAAGCCGCTGATGACGATGATGTTCCCGATCTTGTTGCTGATTTCGAAGAGACTGCAAAAGAATAGAATGTGCTAATAGTGCATTTACAACTTATGATACTGTCAGTTTTAATAAAATAATCTCTGATACTTTTTGGTTTTTGAATAGCTATTTGTTCTTTATTGTCCGGTTTATTTAGATACATTGACTTGGTCTAATTTCGATTCATGTTCTAGTCGCAGGTTAATTTCATGTAATTTTCTGTATTGTAATCCATTCATAAACTTCGGTTTCTGAACTGGTTGTTTGTGGTATTTGTAATTAAAAATATCGTGTTTTTGGATTTGTTTATAATGTTATTGAATTGATACAAATTAAATGCCCTTTGGCCCTATATTTTTACTTTCCTTTTAATAGTTCATTTCTTTGGATCTGTTGTCTATATAAGTTACAAATCCATTACAATTCAAATTTTAATTGCTTTGAAGTTTATATATTTTTAAATAATTTCATTATTATGTGAGTTGCAAACTAACTTTTGTTGAGGAATTATTGGCTTATTCAGCTTGCTGTTGCGCTACTGCGTCATGGGAGGCTTGATTTGCGAATGCTCGCTCTGAATGCGTCATAACAAAGTTCAAAGCCTCTAATATTGCCTATAATGAAGTTTATACAAAAAACGTCACTGCAGAGTAACGGATTTCTATTTCTGAATTTAATTCATCCGGCCCTAAATATAGGTGTTAGAACTAGGCGTCTAGAAGTTGTTTCCAGTGGTTTAATTTATTCTATATTGGCGTTTTGGTCTACTGTGTTGTCTTATGTAAAACAGGCCGTTCGAAGTCATTTGACGTTTTATTGATTCAGAGAAAAACCGGGTGTTGACAGTTGGGTCTACATATATGCGAAAGTGCAACTTCAGTTGTCTTAATTAACGCAAATTATAATTCATTCTTATTTACTTTCATTAGTTGCAACTTTTAGTCCTGGAATTCATCCTGGGTGACACCTTGTTAAGTTATTCAATTTCTTTGAATTAGTTTACTTAAAATATATAAGTAGTAATATTTATGCGCATAATAAAGTATGGAGGCGTTGTGGATAAAAAACTCTTACTGTGCATTTCCTCAATTAATTAAGGAATGAGGGTGTATAAAAGGCTTCGTGAAGTTATGCGGTTCATTTTGTCTGAGCTATGAATTAGTTTTACTCTGCCGACAATTGTGTTCTGGTTAGATGCACGAGCTAACACGATTGTCAGTAATGATTCCCACCAAGTTCTTGTGAAAAATCCAATTTCCGATTTTGGTAAAATCGATATCATTCGACTTTCTAAAATTGCGGGAGAAGCTTCTGAGATCTAGACGTCATGAACATCACAGCGGAGTGTGTGTCAAGTTGTTCATCCATTAAGTTTGCAACAGATGAGATGAAAAATGGGCGAACTTGGCGTGGGTAGCCGAAATGGTAGACTCGCGAGTAGTAACCTAAAGTCCATATGGGCTTAAGGTAGGATTGAAGTGCTTGAGATGAATGTGTCACACATATAAGCAATTTAAAAAAAATTAGTGGCATTATTTAATTAATTCAATTAAGTACAATGGACATTCACTTACAAATTAATTAAGTGAAAGTGCTTTTCCTCTGAACAGTGCACTCCTCATCTGGTACTTATATTGCAGTTATTTAAAGTCCATAATTCGTATTTCACGTTAAAAGTACTACCTTTTGCTTACGTTTATTTTCAATTTGTCATAGACAGGACTCCAATAATTTAATCTCTAGCTTGACTAACGTCCACAATCGGTTCGCGTTTACATTTTAATGTACCAATTACAGCCTGATAATTAACGAGTCAGAAATTTCCATTTTTTCTGTTCCCCATTTTTCATTAGAATGCATTCAAGGTGGCCCAAATTACTAATAATCAATTTCTACACTATGTGTGTGAACAGGATAGAAAACATATTGAATGCCCACAGATCTCACACTAGAAGTAAGAATGGTAATCGAAATCAAATTAAGTTATTGATTACAATAATAGACAAGATGGAATGAGACGAAGATGGCAGGAAAGACGTAGAAGAGGAGGAAAGATAGAAAGGTGGACTTAGAAGCACAAAGCCTGGAAATGAGGTGGAGCATATCTCAGCTGATCGACCTTCGGTGGCTTAATCCGTGCTCACAATAGTCTTCTTATTCGCCAACTATTCCCTCTTGTTGGCTTTCCAATTAAAATCAGCACCAAATAAAAATAAGAATTTAAATACTTAAGTAAAATAACTACAACACCGTGTTTCTTTCGTTTTGAAAAATAGCATCCTTTTGTGGCATCTTCAACCCTTAACACCTAGATACATTCTTTCAATACCTTCTATCCAATCAATTTCCATTTCTACTTCTTGTTGTGAACAAAGATGGGGAACACAACTAACCACTGTAAGTCATTGTCGAAGAACTATTGTGGTATCTCAAGGTGAAAACGATTTTCTTCATACTTTTGCTCAATGCTGATGTGAAACCTGTGGAGCTGGCTTACTCGTTGATAAGTTTGATATATCTATTCGATATTGCTGAATTTGCCTTCTTGCTTGTGTTCTCCTCATAAGTGAAGAATACCACGTAGATTGATGACAAATTGCACAATTGATTGAGAAATGCTTTCCATGAGGGTATTTCGGCAACTTTTCTCTAGTTAACCTTACTGAATGAGATTACATCAAAGATTGGTCATTGTACTACAAAGTAATGGTACATAAATGTCTTGGGAAGAATCGAACATTCCCACTTTTCCCATAAGTCCCTAACACCTGTGAAGGCAAAGTTTGGCAGAGAAGTTGAACTTCGAGGGTTTGGATTTTGGCGCAAAAGTACTGTCAGAGTTGACGAAGATGCGAGGTGGCTACCTAGCAGTTTTCAAAAGTCAACTCAAATTTACAGCAACCTTTAGCTTCCACTTGCACTACCGGATGAAGAAATATAAAACAACATGAGTTGGTTGTAATGCACAGGTGCCAGCAAACATACACCTAAGTTGTGAAAAAGAGGGTCATCGCTGATAGAATTGAAAAAGTAAGGTGACGAACTATTTCTTGAAGTCAATTGTATGTGGATGGAACTTGTGGAGGTAAAAGGTTAATTTTATAAAGTGCACACACATAGTAATAAAATGGACAGATGATCTACGATTTGCGAAATTCAAAATTTTAGCGTTTATTTCCGAAGAAATTGATGCAAGTTGACTCGCGGCTTCCAAACTGGTGATATTATAACGACATAGAAGGCTTCTCTAAATGCCCTTGGAAATAATTTGGAGGCAGGAATGGAATGCTAATAAGTATGTACATAAGAGCAAGCTCCATCACAACCCATTTTCAAATGATATATGAAGAACCACGCCGTTTCAGGCACACTTGTTTACTCTCCCCCCTCTTCAATCTAACCCCCCCCCTCCCTCCACCGCCCCCCCCCACCCACCCACCCACCCAATATCATACTTAAGTTTGCGTGTTCTGCTCCACTCTATTATCTGTATTGACTACAA